ACTATGCTGCATTCCTGCAGGGGAAGAAAGATCTAGTGTTTCTCTTATTGAACTTGCACAGATCTTGAGAGAGAGTTGGAGGCTGCAAAGTAGGTTTGTTCTAGCTAGCTTTCTATCATACTACCCACCTACCAATACTAGATTTAGGATTCCAGAGGAAGATATCACAGAGAGTCATTTATACATTTACTGAAATTGAAAAATGAAATCAGACTTTTTCTTACAAAAGGTAATTCTGATCAGATTTGATTTTTTTCAGTGAGGACTAACTTTCCAATTGAGTAATATGCTGAACACTTTCCATAAATTGATTGAACTATATTTGGAGGGCCAAGATTTAGGAGAAAAGGATATTTACAGCACAAATAAAATATACAATATACCAGAAATTATATCCTTTGCGAATTAAAAATACGAGAGGGCTGGTTTTGAAATTCTTTTAGGGAATGCGAGAGAAAAAAGCAAAAAAAATAAAAAACAACCTCGAAATTCTGCTTTTGAAAAGTCTCTGCTGCTCTGATCTGCACCAAGCAATGCTCCGCCTAGAGAAAGCTGTGAAGTGCTTTACCATCCCATCCTGCTTGGTTCCCCGCAGCACAAGGGGACTCCCATCTGGCCTCTCAATTGTTTTCTGTTCAGAATTCTCTGGGCAGCACCTGACATTAGGCTGGGCTAATGTTCTGTCTTTTGAGGAAAGGAAAACAGGCTTTCTCATTATCCCTGCTTGAGGTTTTTTGGTATTTTTTCTAGACATCCTAAGCACTGCAACTGTGTATCACCTACTAAAAAAGGGATACTGGGTTTGTGATGAGTTAAAGATTTAAATCGTCCTCAAGTCACTTACGGTAAATGGTAACGACAGGGCTTATTATTCCTTTTGACTGAAGAACAATCTAAAGCACAGTGTGGTTTAAGGTAATGTCTTGGAAATCACAAAATATCTTCTAAAAAATTATTTTATTGAGGTCATATTGGCTTATAACATTGTGTGCACATTATTATATTTCAGCTTCTGGATAGACTGCATCATGCTCACTACCAATAGTCTAGTTTTTATCTGTCCCCATATATACGTGACCCTCTACCCCTTTTTCCCTCCCCCAACTCCCTTCTTCCTGTAGTTGATTTCTAGTTTCATAGCTTTGGTTCAGAAAAGATGCATGGTATTATTTCGATCTTCTTAAATGTATTGAGACTAGTTTTGTGGCCTAATATGTGATCAATCCTGGAGAATGTTCCATGTGCATTTGAAAAGAATGTGTATTCTGTGGTTTTTGGATGGAATGTTCTATATATATTCACTAAGTCCACCTGGTCAAATGTGTTGTTTAAGGCCAGTGTTTCCTTATTGATCTTCTGTTTGGATGATCTATCCATTGGTGTAAGTGGAGTGTTAAAGTCCCCTGCTATTATTGTGTTACTGTCTATTTCTCCTTTTATGTCTGTTAATAATTACTTTATATATTTAGGTGCTCCCATGTTGGGTGCATAGATATTTACAAGTGTTATATCTTCTTGTTGGATTGTTCCCTTTATCATTATGTGGTGCCCTTCTTTGTCTCTTGTTACAGTTTTTGTTTTAAAATCTATTTTGTCTGATATAAGTATTGCTACCCTCGCGTTCATTTCTTTGCCATTTGCATGGAATATCTTTTTCCATACTTTCACTTTCAGTTTGTGAGTGTCTTTAGGTCTGAAGTGTGTCTCTTGTATGTGGCGTATATGTGGGACTTGTTTTTTATCCAATTGGCCACCCTATGCCTTTTGATTAGAGCATTTAGTCCATTGATGTTTAATGTAGCTATTGATAAATATGTAATTATTGCCATTTTGTTACTTTTTTTTCTAGGTGTTTTAGTAGTTCTTCTCTGCTCCTTTCTTTTCCTCTTGCTCTCTTCCCTTGTGGTTTGATGGCTTTCTTTAGTAATATGTTTGATTTCTTTTGTCCTACTTATTTGCTTACTTATTATAAGTTTCTGATTTGTGATTACCATGAGGATCCTATATAATATTCTATGTATATATATATGTCTATATCGAGTTGATAGACTCTTTAGCTTGACCTCTTTTTAAAAGCTCTAGTTTTTCACTCCCCTCCTCCCACATTTTATGTTTGTGAAATCACATCTAATCTCTTGTTTTGTGTATATCCATTACCCTCTTATTGAAATAGGTAATTTTAGTACTTTTGTCTTTTAACCTTCATATTATCTTCACAGGTGGTTGATCTGCTACCTTTACTATATTTTTACCTTCACCAGTGATTTTATTGCCTGATTTGGGGAGGGGGTTTGATATCTTTTTACCCCTATTTGTGGTCATCACTTTCCCACTTAAATAAGTCCCTTCAGCATTATTTGTAGAACTGGTTTCTTGGTGATAAACTCCTTTAATTTTTGCTTGTCTGGGAAGCTCTTCATCTCTCCTTCCATTCTGAATGACAACCTTGATGGATAGAGTATTCTTGGTTGTAGGTTTTTTCCTTTTATCACTTTAAATATATCATGCCATACTCTTTTCACCTGTCGGATTTTGGCTGGGAAGTCTTCTGATAGCCTTATGGGCTTTCTTTTGTATGTCACTTGTGGCCTTTCTCTTGCTGCTTTTAGGATTCTCTCTTTATCTTTAATTTTGGACATTTTAATTATAATGTGTCTTGGTGTGGGCCTCTTTGAGCTTATCTTGTTTGGAGCTCTCTGTGCTTCCTGTACTTGGATGTCTGTTTCCTTCCTTAGGTTAGGAAAATTTTCATCTATTATTTCTTCAAATAAATTTTCTGCTCCTTTGTCTCTCTCTTCTCCTTCTGGGACACCTATAATATGAATGTTAGTGCACTTGATGTTGTCCCAGAGTTCCCCCAGACTATTCTCATTCTGTCTAATTCTTTTTTCTTTTTTCTGTTTAACTTGGGTGACTTCCTCTTGTCTTTCATCTAGCTCACTGATCCATTCTTCTGTATCGTTTACTCTGCTATTGAGTCCCCCTAGTGATTTCTTCACTTCCAGTATTGTATTCTTCATTTCTGATTGGTTCTTCTTTATATTTTCCAGTTCTTTGTTGAGGAGCTCACTGTGTTCATCCAGTCTTCTCCCAATATCTGTGAGCATCCTTATGAGTTTTTGTTTGAACTCTTTGTCAGGTAGGTTGCTTATTTCTGTTTCATTTAGTCCTTTTCTGGGATTTTGTCCTGTTCCCTTGCTTGGAATATATTCCTTTGTCTCCTCATTATGCCTCTTCCTCTGTGCTTATTTCTATGTATTAGGTGAGTTGGCTACGTCTCCTGATCTTGGAGAAGTGGTGTTATGTAAGAGATGCCTTTTGAGGCCCAGTAGTGTGTTTCCCTCTCGTCACCAGTCCAAATGATCTAGAAGTGACGACTTTGTGGGCTACTTGTGTCCTTCTGCTGTGGCAGGGTTGCTCTTAATTCAGGTATCCAGGGAGTCTAGTCTTTCCTTCCCTGGCCAGCTGTTTGTAAATCTGGTTTGGGGAGCCTCAACACCTTGGCTATAAGGTCTAACAGCATACTCCTTTCGCAGTTTTCCTGTTAACTGGGTAGGTACCAAATGTAGCTTGTTGCTAGGCTCAGGGGCTTACAGTTGCTATAGGCCTCAGGCCTACAAGACTGTTGTCAGTTCTCTTGGGAGTGCAGCTGAGTGAGGCTGGCCCTAGGCATGGGAGCACTCAATAGTTGAGGCTTTGGAAGGTGGGGCTGATCCTTTTCATGGCTATTTGTGAAGCACAGGTCTTCTTCTGCTGATAAGCCTCAACCCCCACAGGACCACACACACTGTCAACACAGTCCTGGTCCATGCACACTTCCCAACCCTCTGGAGTGCACCCAAATGCGCCACTGAAGAGGCCCCCACTTCTCCACAAATGCCCCCACAGTTCACCTGGTCCTCACACAGGGCCTGTCCCACAGAGGTAGACACACTCACCTTCCTATAGAGGATCAAGGCACCCAGTCAATTCAGGCCGACAAGTAGCCTGAGGGCTTGCTGTTAGGTGGGACTGGTCCGTAGGGCGGGCTGCCTACCCTGGCTGAATTAGATTAAATCTACACTCTAGTTGGTGTGGCGGACCCCTGAACTAATAGGCCAGGGAAAGAACTTCAATGGCTTCTGCCAGGGTCTGTGTCTGAACGCCTGGACTAGGTCACAGCAATGGCTGTCACCAACAATGTCTCAGTCTCCGGAGAAGTCTCTCCTCTCACTGAGATGCACCCAGAGCCCACAAGGTGAGTCTCTTTTCACAAAAGGACTGTCAGCCTTCTCTCTCATGATTTTAGGTTGCTGAGACGGGTGAGTTTGTGCGTGGGCCCTGTAAGACCTGGGTCTTTTCGGCTTTTGTCTGATAACTTTGCTGGGGGTATTCTCTACTGCAGTTAATAGCCAGTGAAGCTACATAGTAAGACCCTCGTCTCAGTTGTGCTGAGTCTGAAGGATGCTTATAGCAGTATCGGCCCCCACTCAGGACCTCACTTCTCTAGGGAGGGCTGTGTCCCTAAGGGTGCCTCCCACCTGACTGGCTGAGAAGCTCCGCTGCTCCTGAAGGTGGCTTTTTTTCTCTCCAGAAGGAATTTCTGCCTCTTCCACCTTAGTCAGGGCTGTCCCTTGTTGTGGAGGTTCTTTTCACCCAGTTTTCAGTTTTCTATCCAGGGTAATTTTTCCAAAAATAGTTGTAACCTGGTTGTGTTCATGGGAGGAAATGAGTTCAGAGTCTGCCTACACTGCCATCTTGACGAGATCTCCTCTCATGGCATTTTATCTTATGTAAATTTATGTATGTGTATGTGTGCATGCACATATATTCTTAGGCACACACACAAGTCTATTTTTATTCTATTCCTACAGCAGAGGTCATCTGAGATGGCCATCTGACTCACTATACATTTATTCAATAAATATTTTGTCCATAGCTAACCTTGGAGGCAAAGAAGAGATTGTAGATGTCTTCTCAGGATTTCTAAATATTCCTCACCCTGAAGCAGGTTTACAAAGATGCACCAAAAGGCCACAGCCACACTGCTCGATCTTGCTGCAAGGAGTCTGCTGAGTAATGAGCCTGCAGCTATCCGTGCCCTGGAAGAACTCCCAAGAGACCTCTTTGATCCATTGTTCATTGCTGCCTTCTTGGGTGGGCATAAGAAGATACTAACGGCAATGGTGAGAGTTTGGCCCTTTTGCTGTCTCCATGTTGGGACATTGAGTGTACGAGAGTCATACTACGAAATCGTGGAAGCCGTGATTGATGGTCTGCAGATCCCCCCTGTCCAGAGCCCTTCCTCTTGGTAAGACTATAGCTGATAGGGACATTGTGAGTCAGCAGGAGGGTATGCTGGAGCCTGGGGCAGGGGAATACCTAACAGTCTCCCGAAAGTAGCCAATGGTGAATGCTGAGGATCTCTGTGGGCCTATTGTTCCAACACTTGGGGTCACCTTAGGGACTCCAGTGTCTTACAGAGTTGATTATAGAATAGAGGTGATTGAGGATACTGTGGTTGGATTTACCTCCTGAGTAAGAAGAAGGACATGGGTATTGAGACTGTGGAGGACCAGAGGTGAAGAAAGTGTGGGAAAAAGAATAAAAGATGCTAAATTTGTGTGGAAAGAACTTCTTGGTGAATGGTATGTGGAATGACAACTGGGGATAAAGAGTTCCGTCCTGCTTCCCATCATTGAACTTGCTGGATGATATTCAAGTTGTCTACCTCTCATGTGTTCTGTCTCCTCCTCTCCTTACAGGGGGCCAAAACTGAGGATCCTAGATTTAAGGCAGGACCTGGACTGTGAGACAACATGCTTGGAGACCGGGACCACATTCCCTTTCTGTTTTCAGTGTTGTATTTATTCTCGGCACTCTATCCTTAAACTAGAAGAAGCCCGGCATAGTGTCAGGTGCCTTGGAATTGTTAATTCAGAGTCTGAGCTTCAGTCAGCCCAGGAACCCATGGAATTGTTAGTGGACCTTTCCCTCAGTGATACCTTGAGAGCAAAGCAATTTCTTTCTTTCCTTCGGAGTAAGGTTGAGCAGAGCGTTGGGTCCTTGCACCTCTGCTGCAGAGGTTTGCAGATTGATAAAATGTCTGCCCACAGAAGTATCCTGCAGTTTCTGGATCTGGGATGCATTGATCACCTGGATGTGGGTGAGGCAGATCTGAGTGAAGTCACCACCCTTTTGGCTCGGACGATCCACCTGGACAGCCTTAGTCTGTATAACATCGCCTTTAAATCTTGTCAGAGGAAAAACTTCAGAACTTTTCTCAACCGGCTTGGGCGGCTGGACAACCTCCAGAAGCTCATCTTGTCTTTCTTCCACCTCACCGATCAACTGCACAAACTGCTCAGGTGAGGGAGTGGGAAGGAACCTGGGTTCCCTGAACCACCCCATGGTTAAAAGAGGAGAAGAGACCATGCTTGGATATTCCTGAGCTCCTTGTCACCTATTTCTCCTTCCACCTCAGCAGGGGCACTTCTGGGAGTTTGAAACTGGCCAGGCTAGAGAGGGGTACCTCATGGTGAGGGGAAAGACAAGATTAGAAAAGGAAGTCGTGCTCATCCTTTCAGTCAGTCACTCAGCCGACCATGTGCGGACACTGTGATAAGTCTGTGAATGTACTGGTGAAGAAGACTCAGTCCTTCTGCTGTTGGAGTTTACAGCTCTCTAGAGAGGAAGGGGAGGCATTCAGATGGAGAAACGCTCTATGCTGTAGCGCCGATGCACATCCCCATGGACTGGCCACAGTAGCTAACACTGCCCACTCGCTTTGCTCCTGTATTTTCCCCAAGGCTTAGACCCTGAACGGAGAACTTGTCATCTGGGAACTAGTCAAAGGGAACCCACAGTTGGCTGCTTTCCCAGACCCATCCCCACTAAATAAGTGAACAGGATTCACCATGGATTAGGTCATAAATCCTAAGTGCATCCAATTTTTTTCACTTAATCTTTTCCACAACCCTGTATAATAATTACCTTTATACACATTTTAAAGCTTAAAAACCTGTATTATCTCAGAGTGGAAAAGTAACTTCCTCAGCATCACAAGTCTCTTAAGTCTGATTTCCAAGCCCACATGATTAACCACTATTGCAAAATATGTGCAAATTAGTTTATTCTAGAGCCTTAGGTACGTTTCATTCAGGGCTGGCTGCCCTGCTCCAATCCTCATTCTTCTGAAATAACCTTTCTTTTTTCTCTGTATAGAGTTCTGCCGCCTCAGTTGGATACATTGTGTCTACCACTCTGTGGCCTGTCTGACAGAGATGTCACTGTCCTGTCCCAGAGCTCTCAGGCCACCCACCTAAGGCTGTTGAATCTCAGTGACAACCAGATATTCTCGGAAGATTATGAGCCCTTCCAGACTCTGCTGGAGAAGGTCTCAGGCACCCTGCAGCATCTGGAGATGAGTAATTGCCTGATAACTGACTCTGCTCTCTCTGCTGTCCTCCCAGCCCTGAGCCAATGTTCCCATCTCCGTGTCCTTAGCTTTGCCTTCAACCCCATTACGATGCCTGTGCTCACGAGCCTTCTGCAGCACTTGGCATCCTTGATGGAGCTGAAGCATGCAGTTTATCCTGTGCCTGTCCATTGCTATGAACAGTGGAATTTTCGTGGCACTTTGGACCCACGGAAACTTGCCGAAGTGCAGGCCCAGGTGAAGGCAATGCTGCAGGCGGTACAGCGGGACGACATGACCTGGACCACTTGTGCTGAGTGATTTCCACAGTACAAGGAGCTGTTTCAACACTCAAGTGTGGCCATTCAAGCACTCACTGTTTTTCCTGAAGCCCAAGTTTGTGGAGACACGTATATAAAATTCTACTGTTCCAGGAAACCGGGGATAGGAAGGTTGACTGAGTAGTGGACCTCTATAAAAGAGGAACTCTGAAAAAAAATAGAGGAATTTGAAAGGCCCTGTGGATCTCTTGCCCCTGGCCCTCGACATCCTCTTCTGGTGACTAACCCCAGCGTTGGGTATGTGACGTAAGGTAACCTGGTCATGGTACATCACCTCCCTGTCCACACTGATTGGCCCGTTTATCCACTTAGGGGCACTTGACACAAGTCAGATCAATTGGAACTCTTCCTGGATGTGGTAGCGGTTGAAGCCGATAACTTTGCCCTCTAGGGTTCTGCAAACATCTTGTAGTTATGATCGCCTTAGGTTGCTTATGAGAAACCAAATGCAAGTAAAAGGAAACAAACTTTGCCCACTACCTACTGGTGTCTTCATCAACCTGTGGCTGCCCGCTTTCTCAGGTCTCAGACCCCTGGCTCAGTTATTCCTTATCTCACATACATTCGCTGAGTATCTGTTCCGATGTAGATACTGTTTCACGTGCTAAGAAAAATAAAGTCCCTGATCTCAAACCACTCACAGTACACATGTTCCTGTGATTTTTCAGTTTCTCCACTCTTTCTTAGGGCATTTAGGAAAATTATTTCTTCCCCCAAACTCCAGCTTCTTTTCGCTTTTTCCGTTACATACTGTGCTCAATCCATGCTGGCCTCTTGATGCTGTTGGATAGCTGCTCAACCCTCAGGTCATGGCTTAAATGTTTACCTCCTCAGATAGATTTTCTCTTACTTCCTTACTTAAGTAGCTTTACTCTGCTGTTGCTCTCTCTTAATGTACCATGTACGTTTCCTTCATGGTCTACACCATTCCTTATGGATTTGCTCCCTCTGCTCTTCCACTAGAGTTGCACTGTTCCGTGTGGGACACACTCGCCATATGTGACTACTGAGCACTAGAAGTGGGGCTACTCTGAAATGTCATGTACTCTTAAGTGTTAAGTGCACGCTGTACATCCCAGGCTTAGTAAGAAACAAATGAGGTAGAATCCCTGGTAATTTATTTACATTGTTTACATGTTGAAGTGATGACGTACTGCATGTCAAAGACAGTAAAGAAGAAAGAATGTAAATGAAGTTGCTTATGTTGTTTACGTGTTGAAATGATAGCACTGCATTTCGAAGACTTTTAAGGAAAAAACGTTAAAATAACTAATTAATGATCTGTTTGTATGTTTACATGTCAAAATGATAAAACATTGCATTTCAAAGACCTATTGGGAAAAAAGAATGTAAAATTAATTGATAGTTTGTTCCTACTGCTTACGTGTTGAAATGATAACGTACTGAGTTTCAATGACTTAGTACCCAAAAAAGAAGGGAAAATAATTAATAGTTTGTATTTTGTATTTTCCTGTTTAAATGGAAACAGACTGCATTTTAAAGACTTAATGTGCGAGAAGAACGTAAAAGTAATTAATGATATGTTTATATTGTTTCCATGTTGAAATGATAACACACTCATTTCAATGACTCGGGAAACAAATAATTTAAAATTATTTTTTCTTATTGCTTACACCTTGCAGTGGTAACAAACTACATTTCAAAGACTTAGAGAAAAGGATGTAAAAAGTAATTATTCATTAATGTAGCTAATAATTTGTTCTTATTTCCATTTTGTGATAACACACTACATTTCTGACTTAGAAAGACAAACGTTAAAATAAGTAATAAATGAATTGTGTACGTTGTTTCTTTGTTGAAATGATAACACATGGCATTATTGTGTTTTGTTGAAACGATAGCACAAAGGCTCTGTAAGAAAAAAAGAATGCAGAATTGATCATCTGTTCATATTGCTTACACGTTGAAAGAATGCACTGTGTTTCAAAGACTTACTAAAAAGTATAAAATTAATTTACTTATATTGTTTCCATGCTGAAATTATAGTTTGCTTTTACTTTTGTGTTAAATAAAATAACTATTACAATTAAATTCACCTGTTGCATTTGACGTTTCCTTTTGGTTTTTATTTATTTATTTGTTTTCGATGTGGCTCATTTTATGTTTCTGTTGGACAACATGGCGCTAGACCGCTAGCTCCATGCAGGCAGAGGCTGTTTCTGTTTAGTTTCTGTATTAATCACGTCCTTTTATTTTCTGTATTTTGTGATGTTTTGACATCTGGGGACTTGCTGACACTGGAGAGACTGCCCCTCCCAAGGCTAGGGAATTCCTAGAGATAGTAAACTACTTGCCTGTGAGCGGGCCTTTCTCATGCACACCAACCCAGACAGAACCCTGACCCCCCATTCACTTTCTTCATGGGCTCTCCCAGGGCTCTTACCCTCTGGGCTACTATTCCCCTGCCCTTATCACCCCACGCACAGGTACCAGACCACCAGGGACAAGCTGTATGCCCCAGTGCCCGCTGAAAATACTCAAACTAGCTAATCCTAAATCTATCGAACCTGCCTTGCCTTTTCTTTCCCTTAGAAACCACAATAGAGGTGAAAACTTCTATAGCACTAAGCAGAGGAGTGATTAAGAACATTATTGGTGCATTGTTGACAACATGAATGACATGATCAGACATTTCTTTTGCAAGATTGGTGGTTCCCAATTCTTTGCTTTCAGCAGTTTGGAAGAATGATGTAAATGATTTGTCAGATAGAGGATCATTAAAAATAACTTTGGATGGTGGGAATGCAAACTGGTGCAGCCACTATGGAAAACAGCATGGAGATTTCTCAAAAAATTAAAAATAGAAATACCATATGACCCAGCCATCCCACTACTGGGTATCTATCCAAAGAACTTGAAATTGGCAATTCCAAAAGTCCCGTGCACCCATATGTTCATCGCAGCATTATTTACAATAGCCAAGACGTGGAAGCAACCTAAGTGACCAGCAACTGATGATTGGATAAAGAAGATATGGTGTATATATATATACAGTGGAATACTACTCAGCCATAAAAAAGGATAAAATTGTCCCATTCACAACAACATGGATGGACTTTGAGGGCATTATGTTAAGTGAAATAAGCCAGATAGAGAAAGACGAACTCTGTATGACTCCACTCATAGGTGGAAGTTAAACATGTATACAAAGAGAACTGATTGGTGGTTACCAGGGGAAAGAAGGGGTGGGGGGAGGGCACAAAGGGTGAAGTGGTGCACCTGCAACATGACTGACAATAACGTACAACTGAAATTCCACAAGGTTGTAAACTACCACAATCTTAATAAAAAGTAAAAAAAAAACTTTGGAAGATATCGTAAGACATTCAAAGAACTGACTGCTATTTTTACACAGAAGTCCTCTATTACTATTTGTGAGGGTCACAAACACAGACTGACAGAAGCCCAGGAATTCATTTTGTTTCCTGTGGGAGGCCTGATTACTTAGAACTCATTTTTAAAAGCACATTTCGTTGGGTAACTAGAACTGCTACATTACTTCCCATTAAAGCAATAAAGTAGAGTAAGAGAGTCTCAAAGAGAAGGAAGCTTCAGAGTGAGGAGTTCCACTTTCGTGTAAGCTGCAGAAAGCTGGAAAGAGCATCATTCCCACCCTATCAAGGAGAAAAAGCCAAAGAAGCTGCACATTCATTTTACTTGACCCCATCAGAGAGCTGAAGTCATTATAGGGCAACCAAGTAGACTGAATTCCAAGGAGGGTCAGGTCTCTCCAGGAAAAGACTGGGTGCATGGGCTTTTGACACAACACAGGAAGAAGGAACACTAGCCACCTATACAAGTAGGCTAAAAGAAATTAGCTAACATTTTTAATGAATTACTAAAGATCAAGGGTTAGCTCGTTTGACAGTATAAAACCCCTGAGAGCGCCAGACAGAAAGGGAGTTCACAGTCATTTGCAAGCTCTCACTCATGCACCTCTACTTGGTACCCGCAAGAGAGATTGTGAACAGGGTAGGAGATCACAGAGAGCCCTCCTGAGTGGTGCAAGCTTGCTGGAGAGGATAAGCCATTGCTGCAGAAAAATCACGAATCTTCAACCCCTGCCCATACCCTTCTCTCATGTGAATCAAAAGCATTAAGCAAACTTTATCACCAACACGTCACAGGTAAAAACACATCATTGTCATGGGAAAGGCAGAAGAAAAGAACCCTCTACCATTAGATGAGATGCAGGGAAAAGGCCAGGGCTCATTATCGTTTACTAATAAGATTGGAAATTTCCTACCACCGAGGAGGCGGAGGAAGGAAATACTCTTCTGCACAGTCAATCACAAATACAAGGCAGAGTTAGGCTACTACAGGGGGGAGAGATGGGAATGCTGAGAGGGCCCAACCCCGGGAACACAGGCACATAGGTCCTGCTTGAGACTGAGCTTGGGAGAGATGTCAGCAAGACGGCAGAGTAGGAGATCCCAGACTCCATTCTCCTATAAAAGCAACAATTAGACAGCTATCCACGAGCCAACATAGCTCTGGGAGAACTCAGGAGTCCACTTAAGGAGCTGCAGCAACATGCTGGGGCAACAAACCTGAGAATAACCACACGCAAAGGGTAGGAAGAACAGTTTCATTTTGCCTGCATCATCTCATCCCCCAGAGCAGTGCTGCTCAGTGTCGAGAGGGAACTCCCCAGCCAGAGAGCTCCCTTCGCAGGGAAAAGAAGAGCAGGTTGAACGACCAGCTTCCCCAGCCTTTCAGGGCACTGCATGAGGGATCTGCTTCAGTTTGACCCCACCCAGGTCGCTGGGAAGACCGGCAGAGTGAGATGTCTGGAGACATCTAGGAATAAAGAAGGACAGGGGTTATTGGTATCAGCCATGTGGCAGGGGAGGACACAGTCCCCAGTGGCCTGCTCTGCAGAGGACCCCAGCCGCCTTCACCACTGAGGACCTCAACAGCCCCCAGAGACCCTCCATACCTTTCACCACTGAGGACCCTGAAGTGTTAGCTGTTGCTAACATTCAAAATTCAGACGCAGTTTCCATACGCTAACCATAAACTATCTGTAACAGGAAACAATCCCATTTACAATAGCATCAAAAAGAAGAAAACGCTTAGAAAAATATTAACCGATGAGGTGAAAATCTGTACACTGAAAACTATAAAACATTGATGAAAGAAATTGAGGAAGACACGAATAAATGGAAAAACATCCTATGTTCACAGATTGAAAGAAAAATATCGTTTAAAGGTCGGTTCTGCCCAAAGCAATCTACAGGTTCAATGCAATCCCTATCAAAATTCCAACGGCATTTTTCACAGAAATACAAAGACAATGCTCAAACTCGTATGGAACCACAAGATTGCAAATAGCTAAAGTAATCTTGAGCAAGAAGAACAAAACTGGAGTCATCAAACTTCCTGACTACAAATTATATTACAAAACTATAGTGATCAAAACAGTATGGCACTGGCATAAAGACAGAAATACAGACCAACAGTACAGAATTGAGAGTCCAGAAACACACACGCATATAAGGTCAACTAATTTTCAACGAAGGGCCAAAAACACACAATGGGGAAAAGATAATCTCTTCAGTAAATAGTGTTGTTAAAAGTGGATATCCACATGCAAAGAATGAAATTGGACCCTTATCTTGGGCACCATACACAAAAATCAACTCAAAATGGATTAAAGACTTAAGCATAAGCCCTCAAACTGTAAAATTCCTAGAAGAAAACACACGGGAAAACCTCCTTGACGGTGGTCTTGGCAATGATTTTTTTCACTTGACAGCAAAGGCACAGGCAACAACAGCAAAAATAAACAAATGGGACTACATCAAACTAAAAAGCTTCTGCACAGCAAAGGAAAGAATTAACAAAATGGAAAGGCAGCCTGCAGAATGGGAGAAAATATTTTCAAACCATTTATCTGATAAGAGGTTGACATCCAAAATTTGTAAAGAACATACAAGTCAACAGCAAAAAGCCCCAAATAACCTAATTTTAAAAAGGGCAAAGGACCAGAACAGACTTTTCTTTTAAAGAAGACATACAAATGGCCCACAGGTGCATGAAAAGGTACTCACCTCATTAGGGAACAGCAAGTCAAAACCACAATGAGATATCACCTCATGCCTGTTAGAATGACTTTTATGAAAATAACTAGAGACAGCAAGTTTTGCTGAGGATATGGAGAAAAGGGAACCCTAATACACCGTTGGTGGGAATGTAAATCGGTACAGCCATTGTGGGAAACAGTATGGAAGTTTCTTTAAGATTTAAAAATACAACTATCGTATGATCCAGCAAATCCACTTCTGGACATATTTCCGCAACTGACGAAATCAAGCTTCACGTGACAGAGAGGCTGAGTTTCACGTGTACCATGGGCACGGGGGTGGTACATAACCATAGCATCCAGGTGACACTAAGCAGTGGCTCACCTATATGACGTCAACGGCTGAGGCTTCCACATGCTCGTAGCCAGTAAGGGCTACATGAGAGAAGGGTCCACGCTGCTGTAGTGACTTGAAGAGCTGGACCTACCACACGACCATAGGGCAACAGGGCCAAAGAGACGGCATGACCTTTGGGTTTAGGAGCCCATGGCGCCGACATGACAGGTAGGGCTGGGCCTGCCACATAACTGTTGGCGACATGATGGCAGCCTCCACGTGACCCGTAGCCTTCGGAACCCACAATGCTCCTGTGCTTCGGAGGGCTGAGTCACCTTCCTGACAGTAGGGTCCAAGACAGTAGGATTCTCCTGATCCACCTTTGCAGGAAAACATTATCCTCAGGAGACCTGGAGATCTGAGATTGCCCACATTCCTGGTCTCCTCTGTAATGTTGGTGCCTCCAGGTGACCCTCCACAGTGCACAAGCTTGGGCTGTACCTACTCTTTACATCCCTCTTTAATGTGTTCATTTTACGTGCTTTTTCCCCTAATAACACATGAAATTTAGTACGTAACATTGAAATACATCCTCCTGAAAACCATAATCGAGGGCATACTGTAGAATCTACTGTAAGAGCCTAAGCAGTGGGGACAGGGAAGCGTTGT